AACAGTTCAGTCAATTCCCAAATAGGCATGTTCAACTCCAGAAAAACAATGAAATTCCCATTTTCATTTCTCAATCATGCTCATTTCCAGAAAATCAATAAAATCCTCATTTTCATTTCAATTTAATCACACTCAGATATTGATAAAATCAATTTAAAATCAATTTAAACCTTGCCACCATCTCAAAAACAATTGAAAACATGCTTTAAAATCGAAGGGCTTTACCATAATTTACTTACCTCACTCGCACAAAACCGAGCACTCAATCTCAATGCTAACTGACAGAACGATCAGAAACCTAATCAAAACACCTCAGAATTAATACCGGACTATCACAAATTCAAACTGAAATCATCATTAAAATCACTCCTAATCCCGATGCTATTCCTATCAATCTCCACATAACTGGACATCTCCACATTCATTCTTATATCACAAACTAATCATTTAAATCCCTGTTAATCGTTGACCCTCAGTGTGTGAACAGTGCCTATGAACAGTACCCGTGAACAGTGCTCACGACGTGAACAGTATTGCCAACTTCCAAAAATTGGCCAAAACACTAGCTAATTCACGGGATTTTCACACAAAATATCACAGCAATCAATTAACACTCAATCACATAAATCCCACTTGAATTAAGCTAAATCATGGTCCTAAAGCTACCGGAATTCCTCCCATTTTCTAGCAAAAATTTTGGACAACATAGGCAACCATCAATCAACTAGTTTTCAAGAATTAAAGAAGCCAACCTACCAGAAATTTTCCAGCTGTAGAACCGGACATGGCAGGGGGAAGAGGCCGGCGGCAATTTGGGGGAAATTCTGCAGGAACTCACGGGATTTACCCAAAATTAAAGGAACCCAACTTAATCAAAGCTAAAAGGATGAAATCATGGCTGTTTCTTACCAGAAAAGCCGAGAATTCACACCCACACAAGCAGATGCCGACGGACAAAGGGAGGAAGACAGCGCAGATCTGGAATTTCCAGCAAAGAGGGGGAATTTCTGGGTTTACTAGGTGTTCTAAGACAAGAAAATAGGGAGAAATCCCCAAGCTTTGCCGGATTTCCAGCCGGAAATGGGTGGCAGTGACGGGGTGGGCTCGTCGAGTGCAGAGGGTCGGGGGAGAAGAAGAGCAGGGCACACGGGTCTGATGAGGAAGGAAAGAAAGAAGAAAAAAGAAAGAAAAAAAAAGGAAAAGAAAAAGCAATTCATCCTTATCCTAATTTCCTTTCTTTTTAGTCCCTCAACTTTTGAAAATTTTGCGATTAAACCCCAAAACGATATTTTTCCTCAAATAAGTCCCCACTTTAATGCTAAAATACCCCAAAATTTTGGGATATTACAATATATCTAACTAATTTTTTTATTATACAAAATTTAATATTACTAAATATATATTAAAAAATAAAGTTTTTGATCAAATAATTATAAGTTGTATACACAGCAAAATACACTGTAAATCTAGTTCCAGCATCATTTCAAAGACTCCAATCAAAGTTCTAGTATCCTAAGGGCTTTCTGATCGATCTTTGACAATCTTAACTTCTCTGATTTGAACGGTAAAACACTCTCAACATAGTTTTCTTTTTTACATAAAATTAGGATTCCTTTATTCTTCCAGTGGGTGTTTTCTCTATATTCCCTTGAATCCAAATTGAAGTGTTTAGGGGATTGTGTGCCTAAGTTGAGCCAATCAGAGTTGACTCCACTGCGCTGTCCCTTTCTCAAATTTGATTGCAGAGGAATAAAAACCAACTATCATGTGATCTATGTAATGGTTTGGTTGTGTTCAATGTACTGTTGAATTGATTTAGAAATTTGGATAAAGTTCATAGGAAAGATGATAATTTTGCTTGATCCCTGTTATTGAATATATGATTTTGTTTGATTTGCAATAAATCTAATTGAGTTATGCACTGAAAAGATCTTTGATGAAACGACCATTCTCAATTTACAATTATGTTTTTGAGTAATTTCTCTTTGCATTTTTTTGCTATGATATAATTTCTTGCATTCTTGGAGTGAAGAATAATGAATTTGATAGAAATAATCTTTGTTAGTTTATTATCCCTTCATCACTACTATTAACTTGATTCATTTGAAAATTTATCTTATTGGAAAGTATAATTTGTGGTTTGTGAGCTTCTTTTTATTTTAACTTTGCTTCTATTCAAGTAGACTCATATTTGTGATTTTAGGAATTCCTTAAACAAGTACCAACGTAAAACTGTTTAGAATTAAATTCTGGTTGTTCATTTTGAGTGTACCTTTTTTGTTTTGACGATTACTGCCTTGTTCTTTTCTGTTTACTATGTTATTTTGACATTGCATGGCTAAAGTGCCTTTATGAATTCTGTTCCAACCATTCGAGTTTTGTTGCCCATTCTGTTTATTGCTTCCCTGATTTGTCAAATGCCATTACATTTTATCTAGTACTTGCTTCTTCTTCTTCTTGTTAAAGAAATTGATTGTGTTTTACTTTTAACTACGTGTTTCTTTGCTGCGCGTAATTCAAAAACGTGTAAATTGTCACAAACATTTTTAAAGTAGTTCTTTTGAATTTTGTTTGATTTATAGAATATTTCATTACTTTGCAATTTTACATATGTCAAAACCCAATTTTTATCAAGTATTCTCAATAAAATTCCCAAATTTGGTCTAAAAAAAAAAAAGCAAGAAACAATGAAATTATGAGAAAAATCTGAAAATAATTGAAATTTGAATGGCAGACACACCTTTTTGTAGACCAAACGACGTCGTTCTGGAATTGCCCGATTGAAACCCAGCCTTCTTCTTCCTCGGACACTCGACCCTCCTGTTCTTAGATGCGTCCGATGACCTCATCACCCAGCCCATGGCGCATATGAGGGGAACTATGGCGAGATCCACTGGCGCACTACTGTAGGAGCTTGAAACCTGTCGCCGGAAATCACGGACCACCAGATCTACCGCGACACAGAGGATCCGGTGTCCATCTTCGCCGCGAATCAAATGAACAGAGCTCAGGTCAGCGTGATGTTGAGGATGGGTTCCAGTTGATGATTCACATCAGAGAGATGATACAAGGGTAGGGGATTTTTTTTTTCTTTTTTTGGTAGTATTTGTTATTCTAGGAATAATTTGATATTAAAGGGGACTGAAATCCTAAAAGGTAGGATCTTCTTCCCTGACTTTCCCTTTTCCCATTCCTCTTTCTCGGCCTTTTAGCCTCTAGAAATTTCCCCGATTTCTCTCCCCTTTTCCCTGTATTCCCTTCTCTCTATAGGATTCCCTTTTTTGTTGCATCTTTGGATTCTCTCCGTCGATCGGAATTGTAGATCAGAGTAACCACTCGGTATTTGTACAATTCTTTTCCAGATCAATACAAGGTACTCCACCTTTAATTTTCAAGATTTCCAGTGTGATTTTGGTGATTCCAGCTGTTTTGTTGATATGAGGTTTTCGGCATTGTTTTTGATGATGATTTGCTCGATTTTCCTGTTGAACTTTATGACAATTTGCTGTGGTCGATCCTTTACTCGTGTGCTGTAGTTGGGTTTTGTCGTGGCTGCATTTTGTGTTGATTTTGTTGACAGAAATGAATTTTCTGTTTTGATCTGCTGTACGTTCACTGAAGATCTTGGGTGGATAATTTAGCTTTTTTGCTCCCTTTTGGATTGTAATATGAGATTCATGCAAGGTTATGTTGATTTTGGCTCCGTTTCATGATCTATATTGTTTCTCACTTGATCTGTTCTTTCCTCTCTGCTTGCATTTTGGTAAAAATTCTGGAAAGTGGTATCTGATTTTTTTTCTGAAAGCTTTAGCTCCAGTTTTGGAGTAGGCTTAATTTGGACTTTTAGTTGGGCCAGCTTCGTTTAGATTGGGTATCGAACTCAGAATAGTCTTTAGGGAAAATGGACTTTGAAGTGGACGGGCCCATACTGGCCCAATTAAAGATCATGAAAAGAATAAAGAATTAAAAAAATTAAGTCAAGAAATAAAAGAGAAATGAAGAACCTGTTTAGTGGAGTTTATTGAAGCTTCAATTTTTTTTGTATTATTTATGAGTGATAAATTTAATTTTTTTATTAAAAAAATTTTTAAAGTTATTTTTAAAAATAGAAAAAATTAAGTAAAAAATAAATAAAAATGAGGTTTATAAAAAGTAAAAGTCTGAAACTTTTTAAAATTTATTATTTAAGATCTTTTTAAAGTTTTAAAAAAGTTAAAAAATATAAATTTTTAATAGAGAATTTTAAACTTATGAAACATATATAATATTAAAAAACTGAAACAATTACAAATTTCACCAAACATACTCGAAATCTACTCTTAAAGATGAAGATCTTCGATTTTGACTTTTCTTTAATAAAGAATTGAGAGCCAAACAGATTACAGCCCCAAAGGTTTCTTTTCAAGGGAAAAAAAAATAATTACAAAGCCAAGATGAACCATTAGATAAGGGTGAGCTACGGGCTACAGGTATTTTCATTACCCGTTTTGGTAAGTATTATACTCAAATTGTAAAAAAAAAAATAAAAAAAAAATTAAATAATATATATGAAAATAGCATACACATAAGTAACAAATCAAATAATAAATATGGAGGTTCAAAATTGTTTATTTGACCTATTTAATTGATTTGTTTAAATGACATGTTACTTATATAATTGAAATTTTACATGCACCTATTATATTTAATATTTATATAATAACAATAATTTTAAAAAAGTAAAAATAAAAAAATAAAAAAAATAGAAATATAAGTTAAGTATAACCAATAAGTCAAGCAAATCACACAAGTAATAACAACTACTTGTGGAAACAATAAATCTTAAACTAAACACATAATACACATAACAACCATTTCTTTTTCCTACAAGTTACCTAGTACTTGTTGAGTCAAGTACCAAATATAGTGTTCAATTATTTAGGTAGGTATTAACACTACTAGAAAACTTCATATTTTGGATTGACTTTTTCGGTAAAGCAAAATCTTGACCAAAAAAATCAATATTTTGGGTAAAATTTTTTACTAAAATCACAATTTGTCCATAGAAAACTTTGGTTAATGATTAATTCAGTTAAAAACTAATTTAATCAAGCATTTGCACCGAAGTATAATGATAGGAATTGGTGCTAAGACTAGTTTGATCAAGCATATTGATTGAAAACATGACGACTCCCTATTTGGTCAAGTAGATTGACCGAAATAATAGCAAAAAAAAAAGAAAGATGTATTTCGATTAAGAATTTTGACTAAAATAGACCAATTGACTTGATTTGATGGGAACTGGTCTTTTTGTAGGTCTTTTTCATATTTTGATTAAGCAATATGACTCAAATAATGGCTTACACTAATTTGACTCTTGTTAACCAGATTTTGCAAACACGTTTCTGTCAAAATGCTTGACTGAAAAGAAACCTACTGCTAATTTGATGGAAGTCAATGCCAATTCAACTTTTCTTCTTTGTTCAGTCAATGGGCTTGACCAAAATAATGTGTAGTCCAGCTTTTCAGTATTTCGGTCAATCTTTTTGTTCAAAATTTGTGTCATACAATTGATTGATAGATGCAATTGTGAGTCCCACCATCTTTCTCATATTTCTGTTAAGGGGCTTGATCGAAATGGCCCTTATCCCCTTTCATGCACCATGTTTCTCTCCTTCCTCATTCGGAAACTATCCTCAGTTTTCCTTGAACTCTCTTTTGCCTTACCAAGCCACCACCAAGTGTTGTAGTTGATTTGGGTGGCCATTGAAGGGTATTTATGAGAGTTTTAGCTCAGTTAAGGTATGATTAGGTGGGATTTGTTGTCCCCCACCCCTTTTTTTTTCTTTTTCCTCACTAATCTTTTCATTTTGCAGAGTAATTCACTTTCAACTTTTATCAACAGTTGTCTCCATCCTCCTTGTGTCCCGATCTATTGTTTTATTTTTTATTAGCATGTATTTAAGTTTTTCTTTTTGTTATTTTTTTATTTTATTTATATAATTATTATTAATCTAAAAATATTCCTTTTTATGTGAGTTTGTTGATATGTTGTTCTACTTTTCACAAATTAACTGTTATAATTTATATTCTTATTTGTATGTTTTTTTATGTTTCTCAATTCATTAATCTTTTTTTTTTTTTAGATCCGTCCATCATATTCAAAGTTCACTTTGATTCACAAAAATTGGAAGTCTCCATTTTTATAAGTATGTTATAACTTTTTGCCAAATTTTTATTTTGAAATTTAGTTTGGGAAAAAATTATAATATTAATTAATTGATTGGTAAATTATGATTAGATTGTTTAATTGATTGATAAATTGTTATTATATTAATTAATTTATTTATAAATTATGATTATATTAATTAATTGATTTGTAAATTATGATTATATTAATTAATTGATTTGTAAATTATGATTATTTATTGA